TGGGTCCTAGTAAGGGGTAGAATGCCAGGGTCTAGATTAGGTTAGGTGGTTTAAAACTAGTGGTAGGATTTCCATCTTCTAAAGATCCAACCTGGAATACGGACCCACCTACTAGGTGTAAGTTGGTATAACTGGGTAAGGTTATAGGTGATAGAGGTGGGTTAACTTAGATGAATTGTTATAGTCATGTAATAGGTTTAATTACTTAATAAACATGTGCTATCAACACCTTTCACCTGAAAAAAAAAAAACAAAAAAATATTTCTTTTCTTTCTTTTTCCCTTTTACCTATTGTAGTTTTTTGAAATCTATTTCTTGAAAAATAATAGATAGCAACAACTTGCTGACAATAATGGATAAGTTAAAAAGATCTTTATTTAAACTTATTCCAGAACAAAATATTGTTTCCAAGATTGCACTTAAAGACTTAAATATATTTGAGATTTGAAAACTATTAATAAGTGAATCAGTATAAGATTTAGTTTAGTTATGATATAATTGCCCAATATATCTTTATCAGTTTTTTTAAAGATTAATAAATACACTATATTGACTTAACCATGGGTTTAAAAAAAAGAATAGATAAAAAAAGATTTAATAGAAATAATTAATATCAATTATACTATATATACAATATAATAGAAACTCATAAATTTTTATATAATTTGATACAATTAATTGAGATCTCATTTTATATAAATAATTGATATAATATTGTAAATGTTTATTTAATATTTTAATAAAGACATATTATAATAACAGAATTATAAATTAAAAAAAATAATATAATAACCAACTAATTTTCAGCAGTGGCAACATTATGACTATCAGCTATAAAAGTAGAAATCCTAGCCATACTTGCTGCAATCTTTATAATATTTAAGAATGAAAAAGCAATCGTATATACAGATTATAGTGCAGCTATTAAGATATAAAAGACAATCTAGTTACAAAAGTTTATTTCTATAAAGAAATGGACTAAAATAATCAACTAGCCATTATGGAACCAAATCAAGGACCTAGTACGAAAGAAAAACTTTTGTCTCATACTTGAAAAAATCAAGATTCATCAAGACAATGAGTTCAATAATATAGTAGATAGATTAGCAAAGTAGATCAGAAAAGAAAATCCATTGATTTGATAACAGACACTTGATTTGAATCAAGTTTTTACAATAGTAGTCTAGAAGAAACATATTATTGATATTAGTATTAAAGATTTCCTTAAAAAATGGAACACAAAAAAAAATAGAGCTAGCCTAAATTAAGCAAAAACATATCCAAAATCAATAGATATATCCTATTTCTAGAGACAATTCAATTTATACAATACCTTTTACATTTCCTTTAATATTAACAAAAACAAGAACTTTCTGATAAATCTAATCCATGATGAGCTTTCTATCCTCCAAGTGATATAGAAAAAAAAACCAGACTTATATTCAAATATAATATGGTCAATATATAAGTTATAAAAGAAAATCTTGAAATATCTTTTTGAATGTCTCAAGACTCAAAGTAAAAGATCAATTATATAGAACAAATCTCAAAGTAAAATCCTTCAGTATATCAGAAAAATAAAAGACTTATCTGATAAGAACCAGACAGAAGTTAAAAGAGTAACAAGAAAATGGATCCAGGATATTAAACAACAAGATGAAAGCTTATATAATACAACCTATAACTTTATATATAGAGACAATATCAAGATTCTAGAAAAGCATTTCAAAGCTCTTAAGATCTCAATAATAATAACACAAGAGACTATTGATAAATTTTGTAAAAAATGAGGAAAACTTTCAAGAAAAAAGTTTAAAATAAATATTGTAGCATTACTATTGAATGGGAACAAAATCAAGAAATTACTAACAAGCTCAAAATGCTTAGAATATCAGTTGATACACTAGAAGAATGAATTGAGTTCTTAAGGAAGTCAACTACTCCTTTATTCTTTTCTTCAGAAATATATCAGAAGAAGAAGAAAACTTAGAACAAATAAAGTCTCAAGGTAATATAGTAGATATAATAAGTAATTAAATATCCAAAAGTTTTAAATAGTTTGATTTTTAATCACAGATAGAACTTCGGAAGATCTACGATGATGAGCTGTAGACAATGGTCTGAGTGGCTAGAGAATAATTCAAGTTACAAAAGAAGCAAAATATCATTTCTTAAGTTGTATTTAGAGAAGATTAAACTTTGTAAATGAGTGAGTCAATATATGAAAATCATAGAATATGTAAATACCAAAATATATTTACAATAAAATGGACAAGCCATATTGGCTTGACTGTGGATTAAAAAAAAAAAAAAATTAAAAAAAATAATACAAATGAACCTAACTCAATTTAGAAATTTAAAATATTAATAAATTTATTTTTTCTGTCAACTTTTCAAATATAAAAATCAATATCTGTGCCATATCACACTCTGATTCATCTCCTTTAGAATCAACATAACATTATATTTCCTAATAATTCTTTGCATAGTTATTCGCAATATATAAAATAAAAAATTATTTTTGTTGTTATTTCAAAGGTAAAAATTCAATCACATATACTGTATATGTTAGGATGCAGTGAGTCGGAGGCTAAAGAAATAACATTTTTTACTACTCATTTTGCTACACCAATGGATTGCATTCATTTATTTATTACCTTGTACCATTTGTTATTTCTGTTGAATCATACATTCTTCAACATTTAGTATAAATGAAGCTCTTTCGATGTGAAAAGGTAAATATACATGTGCTCTTGCGAAACATTCTTTCTTTAACAAATTGTAATAATTGATTTATATAACACTGTACGATAATAAATTAATGAAAATTATATGAAATGAGAGCTCCAAATATTTAGTCGAACTTAAAATAATAAACGAGAGGCGTAAAATAATTACCAAATTTTGATTCGATAAATTCTGTTTTGGTGGTTGTACAGTATACGCACAGGGTCACCTATAAATATTCGCTGCAGTTAAATTTCAGGGTTAATATATCGTCATGATAGAAAAGCTTTGAACACACCTATACTTACCAAATGATACCCAATAGTGCTATCCTCACATTGTTATGGGTAATTGTAAAATTGAGTGAGTGGAATTCGGTATGCTATTTAATGAATGTAGCAAGGATGCAAAGTTGAAATATGACCGAAACTCTCGAGAAAGGCCCTCTCCAAATAATTAATCGCGAGCCGAAATATTAATTTCAGCGTATTTAATCCCAACCGAGATTTGTTTCTTGAGTAAAATGGAGTGTAAATTGATGGACTCAGCCTTAGATAAGTTACGCAAACAAGAATTATTAAATATCTTATTCCAACTTACCCGGAACACCCGGGGAGCCCCAGCCTTCTTCTTGAAATTACAAAGGAATTAACAATTGTATTGTATATAATATAAGCGTCATAAGGATATAATTCATAATATACCATTTTGATCTGACTTTGTTTGGTCTGTAATTTCAGGAACATCAACCGAATCCCGCGCAGGCTTGTCCGATGTTTGATCGTTCCCATCTCCATCAGCGGATTTATAGGAGTCTCGACTTTGATCGTCACTTTGTCGCCTGCCGGAATCATATTGATTTCCGCCCCTACGACCGCCACCTCTTCCACGAGATCCTTTACCTCGTGCCGGCGTGCGGTTATTTCTTGGATTATTCCTCGACCCGAATCCACCACCGTGTTCACCGCTACCTCCGTGAGGACTTCTGAATCCAGAATCGTTACTTCGAGAGTTCCTTCGTCCGTAATCGTCACTGCTACCGCGATAATTCTTTCTTCCGCTGTCCTCATTCTCATTATTCTCTTGACCTTTCCGGTCATAATAACCTTCTTCACTTCGAGGACTCTTCCTATCGGTGTCACCATCGTGACCATAATTTCGACCTTGTTGTGAATTCCAATTCGTCTCCTCTTTCGCCTTATCCCATTCTCTTGCCCCCCGGTTTTGCGTTTTACGCTTTGCATTCTCCTCACGTTCGTTACTTGGAGAATAAAAAAAGCATAAATAACATCTCGAAAGAAACAAATTAATCAATAATTAGAATAAACAGATTCTTACTCTTGCAATCGCCTCTGTTGTTGTTCATGTCTTTTTCTCTCTTCTTCTTCTTCTTCTTGTCTTTTTCGTTGAATTTCAAGACTCTCCAACTCCTTTTTTCTGAGTTCCTCTTCTTCTTTCCGAAATGCCTTTTCGTCTTCCTCAACAAGCTTTCATTTTCGAGTCATTATAAAAATAGGTTATGATAAATTATTGAATTTAGATGTAATTATGTTAAAATCAAACCTTTCGTTTCTCCAATATTTTCTCATTTTGGATGCGTATTTGATCCATGCGTTTGGCTAGCTCTTCTTCACGCATTCTCTATTCAATTAAGTGAAGTGATGCACATCTTAATTCATATTTTTAATGAATGCAATGATGCGCATGCACATCTTAAAGAACATACTTGATGAGATTTCCCGCCAGACAACACACGGTCTCTATTCACATAGGGGTCGGACTTTGTTGCGTGGATGCTATCGTTCAGACTGCCACCTCTATTCACAACCGAACCTCCGGTAAATTCATCATTAGCCTTCTCGCGATAATCTATTGGGTATTAATTATAAAATTTAATCGCGAACTATATGGATCTACTTGTATTAATTAATTTAATTACCAGCATTTCTGTTTCCATTACCCCGTGAGAAGGAGGATCGATGGCTGTGACCTCGATGATCTGAATCGCCTCTGGAATCACGTTTGGAATTGTCACGTTCGTTGCGAGGTGATGATGGCCCACCTCTGCCTCTTCCACGGGGACCTCTCGGTTCGGAACCCCAATTTCCTTTCTTATCATCAGTCCGATCTTTTTCTGGATTACGACCCCTACCCTTTTCTGATGTATTCAAAGAAAAAATATTAGTATGATGGCTACCTATGTAAAATGAATAATAAGGTCGTTTTTAAATTTATATACCCGAATTATCTTTATTATAGTTTTTCGAAGATTGACCTATTTCATTTTGCCCTTTTCTATTTGAAGAGGGGGAATCCTCTTTAACAAAAGAATTCTAGTTAGAAGAGCGGTCATTTTTTGGTGGCGATGCGTCTCAGATTTCTCTGAAAATATCTTCACAAGCAGTACAATACCTTGAGCATTCGACGTATCCTTGTCCGGTTGATCCTCAGTTTCGTGCCAAGGGGTGTCACTATTCGGCTGTATAGGTGGATCTCCCCAACCATTTGCAGCTTCTATTTGTTTATTATCGTTATTATCGGACGACACCCAACCTACTTCACTGTTTTCCATAGAGTATAGGTTTATAAATTTGACCCAGACTAAGGAAAAAAAAAAAAAGCAAATTTGTAATTGACGGCTGATCAATTTAAGCCAATTCGTCAGCCAGCCAGTTAGAAACGACCTGATTATCTGTTATCTGTCGCCAATTAAAAAATGTCAACTTCAACGCGAGCAGAAGTCCTTTCACTCTATCGTTCTTTTCTTCGTGTGATCGAACGTTGGCCAACCGATTATTTACGACCGAACAGAAATCTGAGACAAGTGCTCCATTTGCGTGTTGTTGAGGGTTTTCGACAAAATTTGATCATTAAAGACGCGGACGTTTTTAGCTCTTTGATTTCAGAAGCTAACGTTGAACTTGATGCATTAAGAAGGCTGGCTGATAATGAATATAAAGAAAAGGTTTTTTTTTATGAAATTTTGGTCATACAAAAGTTGGTTTATTTAGTGTTAACCAATTTTATCAAACTGTTCTTTTTAGTATCCACTCTCTGACCGAATATATCGGCCCGCAGCTAATCCAAAATATTATTCCGGATTGGTTGCTGCCATAGATAAGGCAGCTAAGCAAAAGCAAGAAGAAGAATCGAGACCTTCGTTCTGGAAAAGGTTGTGGGGAGAAAATCGTTAAAAGGAATCAATCTCCAGATGCTTGTAATTATTATTTCTTTCAGTGTCGTATTGAATCGCGGATATTATCAATTCATTAATACAATTATTATTTTTTTTTTTTAAAAAAAAAGTAAGATTATGTATTTCAACTAATGTAACTAATTATTTCTATGGGTAGGAAAAAATAAGAAAGAAAAGTAGTGTTGATCCGGTGCATTTCAACGATCGAATTGACAAAATGAGGATCGCGCGTTGATTATGTGTGCACTTGATATTCAAACCTCTGCAGGTGTAAGGTTACTAGGGTCGAAACCTGATGAAAGAGATAATAAACATAATTAAATGAACAATTTCTTAAAAAGTGAATTTATTTTTTCGCATACCCGGCATTGGGAATCCAGTGGCAAAAATTTCCACCTCCTTTTTTAGGATCGAGATTTCTTCAACGTCTTGGCACGCCTTTACAAAATCCTTCATCATTTTACTACCCGCCTTTTCCTTTTATCATCAACAGGATTAATAAATTGTACATTTGTGTTAATCCCTATCTTAAGAAAGAGTTAATAAAGAACGAAAACTGTAACGAACCTGCACCGCAAGAGCGATCTGGACAGCACGATGTAGGAAATCAGCAACCTTGACGAAATCCTCTTCCTTAAAACTTCGTGATGTTAACGCCGGAGTTCCGATGCGAATACCACCCGGGGAAACCATATTAGTGTCACCGTGTATGGAATTCTTGTTGACCGTGATGCTAAGGGTGACCGCATTATAAATTGTTCAGGAGGCGCCAATTTAAAAGTTAAATCGAAACGCCATTGTTAACAATGCACATACTTGACCATATCGCAAATCTTTTCGACCTTGCTGCCAGTCAACTTGAGAGGCCTCAGATCCCATAGAATCATGTGACTCGCCGTCCCGCCGGTCACTAATTTATAGCCGCGTTCGACGAGTGCATTGCCCAAAGCTCTGGCATTGGCTCTAACTTGTTTAGCGTATTGTTTGAATTCAGGGGTGGCCACCTGCTTCAGGCACACAGCAATGGCGGCGATGGTGTTATTGTGGGGCCCTCCTTGACAGGACGGGAAGACTGCATTGTTCACTCGATTCTCCAAATCGTCATCCTTTTTTCTTCTGAAAAAGATTAGTCCAGCGCGCGGACCTCTTAGAGTTTTGTGGGTAGTGGTGGTGACCACATCGCACACCTCAAAGGGGTTATTAGCTTCATTACTGGCGACAAGACCACTAATGTGAGCAATATCTGCCATCAGATATGCACCATGCTGATCCGCAATCTTTCTCAGTCTAACATAGTCCCAATCTTGGGGATATGCACTTCCTCCACAAATTATTAGCCTCGGGCGGAAGAGGCTTGCATTTTTTTCGAGCTCATCATAATCGACGAGTCCTGTATCCCCGTTTACTCGATAAGGCATGGATTCAAAATATATTGAAGATGACGATATCCTTTTCTTTGGGGTTTGCCATCCGTGCGTCAAATGCCCGCCCGATGGTAGATCCAATCCCATTAAACGATCATGGGGATGAATTAAGGCTGTTAACGCAGAAAAATTAGCCGTGCTTCCGGAGTAGGATTGGACATTTACACCCCATTCTTCGGGATTTAGGTGAAAGGCCCGTAATGCTCTTTGACGACACAGGTTTTCAACTTGATCGATGTACTCGTTGCCCCCATAATACCGAGCACCCGGAAGACCTTCGGAATATTTATTTGTCAAAGGCGATCCGTTGGCTTCCATCACCGCAAGGGAAGTGAAGTTCTAGTATTTCAAAAAAAAAAAAAACGCAAGATATTTGAGAGTTCATGATGCGTCGACCTCATAAGGGCTCGACCAGAGTGACCCTTACTTCCGAGGCAATGAGCTCTAAACCGGAGAACTGCCTGTACTTTTCTTTTTGAATTATATCGTAAACCTCTTTATCCTCGTCCAACAAAGAACCATTTAGACCGCTATTCTATATTCCCGAATAAATGATATTTAATGTTAAAAGGAATATAGTAGAATCTTCTAAACACTATAGCAAAGTGAAATTTGACAATGTACCCAAGGGTCAACTTCGTGGGTAGAAGAGAACACCATTCTCATATATTTCTTCAGTCTTAGTCTTTCTGGACAATAATGGAAAAAAAAATTTTTTTGGATCAAATATCTAATCTACGACCTGCAGATATATAACGCGTGTCAAGATTTTTTCTTCTTGGCGTTTTGGCCTACATTAGGACTCGTGGATCAATGTAATTCTGGTCGACTTCACCCGGCCGGCTTTATGGTAGAAAAAATTTTCTGCAAATCTATAAATCTGATTTCACAAAATAATCGAGTTTTCCTCCTCTTGGAATCGGCGGAAAACTTTCCCTTGTAACTTGGCAATTATGTCCAGATTTCCAGCTGTCCTGAATGGTATCTACTTTAATCCACTCTGTTTCTCTGACTGGAAACTCTCATGAACTATACCTCGTTTTTGTGATGTATATATCTCATACGTACTGCACTTTTTTTTTTTTTTTTTTTTTTATCCTCGACTTATGAAATCGATAGCCACAGAAGGTGAGATTAAACAATTCCTTTCGGCTCAATGTCACATTGGTGCCAAAAACCTGAACGTTCAAATGACCCCTTATGTCTGGAAACGCCGTTCTGATGGTAAATAAATATATATATTTGATATGGTTGCAGCTTTTTTTTTTGGATATCGTAGTATCTAATCATTAATCGATATGATCCCCGCGAATACCGATTTCAACAATTCATACATGTGGTCAACTTCAAAGGTATTCAAATTATCAATATCGGAAAAACATGGGAAAAATTAATTCTCGCTGCCCGTATAATTGTTGCCATCGAAAATCCTGCTGATGTTGTGGTCATCTCGGCCCGTCCTTACGGCCAACGTGCTGTCCTGAAGTATGCGTCCTACACGGGCGCTCGACCCATCGCCGGTCGGTTTACCCCTGGAACCTTTACAAACTACATTACCAGGTCATTCAGGGAACCCCGTTTGATCATAGTAACCGATCCGAGGACAGATCATCAAGCCATCAAGGAAGCCTCCTACGTTAACATTCCCGTCATTGCCTTAGCGGATACAGATTCGCCTCTTCGCTTTGTTGATGTTGCAATTCCCACCAATAATAAGGCCAAACATTCAATTGGTCTTATTTATTGGATGTTGGCTCGTGAGGTGCTTCGCCTTCGTGGCTCTATCGGACGCGATGCTCCATGGGGTGTGATGGTTGATATGTTCTTTTACCGTGACCCCGAGGAAGTCGAAAAAGAGGCAGAAGCAGCAACCACTGCTGTTGTCGACAAGACGTCAACACAATTTCAGTATAATACTAATAACGAGTGGGATAATCAAGATACTGTCAACGAGTGGGATGCATCGGGGACCACAGCACCTGGTGGCGTCAATCCTAGCACTGCGTTATTGGCCAATGTCCATTCCACGACGTTTACAGCCACTGCGGATGACGGTTGGGGTGAAAGCGAACCCACTGCTCTTACCAATGTTCCGGATACCACCACTTTTGATTCATCATTTGAACCCCCCACCAGTAGTTGGGCTGACGAGACACCCGGAACAGGAGGGTGGAGCTCTACGGTTGATAAAAGTAATGAAGCGTGGGGTGATGAGGGCAATGAGACGACAGCATGGAAAAGTGAAGAAAAAACTGAACCCGGAAACGAGAATGCCGGAACAGGTTGGGATTAAATGAAGGAATGTTAGATTGAGGAGATGTCATTTTAGGGATGAACTTGCGAGGCAATGTTTCGCACGTTTTTAAAAAGTATCCTTTGGACAACACCAGAACGCAAGAATGTGTGCTTAGTGGCATTACTCTACTCTCCATATTTAAGAGGTTATAACGTGAATAATAAAAATTCATTAGGAAGCGCAAGTTACTTCTCGTTACAAAAACAACTGCATGAGGCACTTTTAAAGGATACTTTTTTTTTTTTTTTATTATTATGATAATAAAATACAAAAAACCAAAAACTTTTCGGTTTTGGAATTTCACATTGCAAAAATCCTCTAGTGAAACAACTAATAATATTGCACATGGATTATTAGATCTCGCTTTCGCTTCATATATAGTAAACTCTTGCAAATAAAATATTTTATCATGGTCATCATATTGTAAACGTATTGATCGGTCTTAGCAAGGAAACTGACATTATTAAGAGACGGTAAGCATGTGGTCTATGGATTTAAAATATTAAAAATTTCAACCCGCAAAAGCTTTATCGTCTTTGAATGTAAATGCTTGAATGAAACAACCAAGAGGACGTCGAAAGATTTCAAAAAAAAAAAAAATCATCACGGGAAAAACTGAAGGCATTCATTCTAAGAGGTCGCGCATACGCGTCAAAATTAGCCAATGGCTGCGCTTGCTCATCGTGTTACCATTCGGCTGATACGCAAATGACTCAAATTCAAGACTCTGCGATTTTGAAGATTGCTCGTGTAACATAGACATATATAAAAGAAAAATGGCGGCCAGCAGGCCTTCGCGACATCACGGTTTTCGCGGCTATGCGGCAGATCATGATCGGCTAAAGCGCGCTCTATTACAGCCGGTTCAACCTTGGTTTGCTTTTAATTTTGACCAGATTTTCGGCTTCGCGTTTTTTGAGGTTAGACATAACTTGGATTAAAAACTACCACTGAACTGTGTAGGGATAAAAAATGGCAATATCCCAATAGCGGAGGAAAAAATTTTAAAATACTGAAATGGACAAAATGTGAGTGGAAAACAACGTAACTGGGTCACCAGCATTGATTGCAAAGTATCTTAAATTGCATTTCATCATAAATTTAGCCGACCGGAAGTTAACCTTCAACGACGATGACGAAGACGAAGGTGGAGTCGTAAGGACGGCTCGTCAACTCACCAATTTTGAGGTAAAGTCATATCGATATCAACCCGAGTTTGAGTTATACATGTATGTGTAATCCTGCCGGTTTCGATTCATAAGGTTATCGTCGACTCAATGCTATTAGGATACACCAACACCAACGGCTTCAATCATTCAACCTCCGACCGAAGCTTCCACCCCCCAACCTTCTGAAACAGAAACCGACTCAACCTTTTTGAGGCCTCACATAGCGTCGATGCCCAAGTCGTCGTCATTGCTTCGTCAGACTTCGCTCACGTCCGCGGTGTCGACGCCCGGGGAGAATTTAAACACAAACAATAACAATACACCGCTTGAAGTTGAATCGTCGGTTGCGAATTCTCCCGAAATTGAAGAATTAGAGGGGGAAGAAGGAATGGAAGAGGTGGAGATTTCTCGCACCGAAGAGAAGCACGGTGATCTGGGTTATGGAAAGCAGAAGGATGAGGACGACGACTTATTTAACCGACCGATAAGCAGTTTCGGTGAGTCCAACGAATACATTAACAAGTCGAGCGGTTACGAAGATCAGGCTAATGAAGACCACGAGGAAGAATATGAAGATGAACAAAATGAGGATTACGATGACAACCGAATAGATGAAGAATATGACGAAAACATTGAAGATTATGATGGACCAAGTGATGAAGATGGCGAGCAAAATGAGGAATATGGAAATTCGGTTCAAGGTTATGCCGGGCAGCTCAGTGAATATGAGGAAGACCCAAGCAGCGATTACGGTCGAGCCAGTGAATATGGTGGACAAACCAACTCTTATATAGGCAGGACAAGCGATTACGATGAAGGACAAGAGAACAATGATGGATATGGCGAAGCACTGAGCGAATATGAAGAGCACAGTAGTGACTATGGTGAGCAACAAAGCGATAACGAGGAACAGATCAACGAATTCGTCGGACAATCCGAGGAGCGTACGGATCAACAACACATCACATATCATGATCAAGTGACAGCCTTCGTCGATCAAAACAGGGAAATTCTTTCGGAGGCGAAGGAGGTTGAGGAGGGTGAGTACGAAAATTTGGGTCAGATGCAATAAACTTAGGATTAGATGGCGTCCGAGAATCAACTATCTGGATTTCATCGCAATTTTGAAAATATTCGCGAAAATCTCGATTTTTGTTCGAAATAAATTTAAAAATCAAGAATCTCGGTTTTTTCCCTTTCAAATATGTTGTTTTGAATGATCACGCACATTACTTTATTCTTTTTTTATTATTATTGTTCAATTATCATTTTTAGTAATCATGAAATATAAAATATATAAGATGATGAAATTTTGTTTTATAAATAAACAAAAGAAACCACGGTAATTCTAACAGCAATCATTCCAACCGCTTTCCTCGTAATTTCTCCTGTTACTTTCTACAATAATTCTGTGAACCAAATGATTTTCTTCTTCGTTATCCTCCGGATCACCAACATCATGCCAATACAATAGCAATTGTGACGCCTTGTCCCACTTCCATTTCCCACTGCTGTGATATATACTGAAATCTTCTGACTCGCTAAAGTGATGTCTTGGTAGATATATTTCTGTTGGCGAGTCCGCCGACGGATTCACTGGATTCTTGAACACGTATTCGAAATGCTTTTTATATGGGTTAAACTTCAGGGACAATGGTTGTCCATTGGTCTTAATCGGAAAAGGTCGGAGTAAAGACTCCAGAGCTCTGCCTCCCACATCAGACCCTTGATCCGATCCGGATGACATCATCGAATGTATTTTTTCGCCGTGGATTGATAATGAGTAGATGCTAAGATCCTCTCCGTTCCATTGATCTCCCCATTCATGATTATTATCGGGACAATAATTCCACAGGGTGAAACTTAACAGGTTAGCCTCGAGCGCTTGTATACTCGCCTCCATGGCCTTTATTTGCTGGGAATAGTCACCGTCCTTGTATGCCTTCTTATCTTGCATATCGTATGGAATACCTATTTCACCGATTATACACGGAACGTCACCTACACGGATCACATCGGTAAGTCGGTCCTGATTAGCACGCTATTCGATCATAACCAACATCACGATATTGATATCATCTCCACCTACCCAGAAATTCACGCTCGTTCTTAATTAATTCTAGTTGGTCAGCGAAATTTCTCTTGATGGCTCGATCCCCAACTTTAATTGCTGGGAGAAATCCCCGGTATTTCCCACGTTTGATTCCCAGATAATCAATGGTCCACCAATTGTACCGTTTCTGAACCAATGTCACCCCGTCGTACCAGTGTGGCGAGTATACGAGACGTTCATTTAACTCATCCGATTTATCAAACCTGGGCGGCTGTTCTAAAACGGGTGGTTGAACGAATATGATTGCATTGGAATAGACTGAACGAATCGTCCGGGCATATCTTTGAACGAACGGTTTCAAGCAATCTTCATTCCAATCGGGTTCTCTTCCAGTATCGGGGTTGATGGCAAAGTAGTCTGGACGCAGCAATTCCTTTGTCTTTTTATCCCAAATTCCATGACCAGCCCATATACACCCTTTCGGAAATTCGGGTCCTTTCTCCCACGGATATCCTTCGGGGTCGTCTTTAAGCCACGCCGTTTTACCATTGGGATCAATCCTCTCCTTTCCAACGACGCCAAAACCATACCAAACAATGTCCCACACTTCCAAAGTGCATGGTATTCCCTCACCCAAGAGCATCGCCTGAAACGGTGTGGGAATCCTTCCTCGCCTGTATTCCTGAAATTCGGGGATTTTGTTCAAGTCCTTGGCACCCACGAAGCCCCAACTCGGTTCATTCATGGTGTCAAATCCGATCACCGTCGAATCATGAAGTTGGGCCTCGCAGATTTTCTCAGCCAACAGTTTGTATGCATTGCAAAAATGCGATTGCAAATATTCCTGTATGTTGACGCCGTCTACGATACATTTTTTAGCATATAAGCTACCCGAATAAAATAAGGTAAACATTGTGGAAGACGCCAGCTTATAATAATTGGTTGACCAAACCATCTTTGGAAATTTTTCTGGGTTTTCATAGGTGTTGTGAACAATCGCAGCGTCGGTGGCAGTGAAATTTCTCATGTTGAAACCTACGAGATCTAATGTCCATCCTGGTGCACCGGAGCCCCCGGAAAACCTTGACCACTGTTAATGCAATGTGGATGTTAAAAATTTTTAAGTCGAAGGTTCATTGAAAACGCCCGGTGCAAGAATGTGACAATGAAGAGCGTACCACATCCTGATGTGGATCGATGAAACATCTGAAGCCATAATCTCTGGCCTTGATCAGAACTTTTATGGTAAAGTCTATGAACTCATGGTCATAAATACCGCTGGAAGGGCAATAATAATAATAATAATAATAAAAATAAAAATAAAATAAAAATAATAAAAAATAAAACAAGTTAACCAAAAATTCACATTTGTCATATGTAGGTCATGTGTACCGACCCGGAATGATTATTTACCCTCCACCGGACACATGGCCAAACATCAACCAGTACTCAATTATTTCTATTATTAATGGAATGAGTCTACTTACGGTCCCGAGTGTTCAAGTGCCTCCCAAGTCACAATGAACCTCAAAAAGTTGAAGCCCCATTGTCTTAGACGGACAAAATGTTGGTCAGCTTCGTCCAGGTGAAAAGGTCTGCCAACAAAGTTGACGTTGCGGTGATCGAAGAAACCCTCAGGCTGGTGAGAGGGTATTGGCGGGGAAGCAGGGTTTTTAGAGGCACCCGACAAATTTATGCCGCGAAAGAGGAGTGTGCGATCGGACGAGTCTTTTATCCAATTCCCGCTGAACCTAAGTGTATCGTTCGAATCGAGAACCATGGTGACGGACGAATCATCCGAAACGCTCGAGCTATAGAAAGTCTCTGTTTTTTCAGAACTGTCCGACAAGTCTTGTCTGTCGAATCTGGTCATTTTGGGGATACGTAGAAGCGCAGCGACACTTCTTTGCAGTCTGAAACTCCTTATAAACTCCAGTGCGTCCGTCACCTGGTTACACTATTTTATGAAAGTTTTTAAACCAAAAACATTAATTTACGCACGCACACAATGCACGTAAGAAAAAAAATTATCTCAATTTATTTCTGCTTTACAAACTATATATAGAAACCAATATATAAATGGAACCATTTTGTACGTGTCGTACCAGTCGCGACGGAATTTTTATCGCACCGTGTAGCACAACCGTCTTACGTTCAGCGTTAAGCTAATTTTCTACAAACGTGATGACGATCCCGCCGGTAAATCATCAAATCGTTGTTTACTTTGGTAGAGATGGGTCGTTGGCGTAATCCCGAAATGTCAAGATAATAAAAATTTACAATGATGTTAGTAATGCATCATCAAAAAGAAAACGGAACGATGTTCGCTTATCCACTTATCCAATAATTTTAAGAGTATTTATTATATATATATGTATATATATGTACAATAATTACTAAATAAGTAGTTGGTTGTAATTTCGACATAAATAACGCGGAAGTGTGAGAAAAAAAAAGTGAATCTTGATATATTATAAATCCCTATGTAAATGGAGGCAATTAATAACAGATCATAACATTGTACCATAATGGAATCATTTAGCCGAACCGAGGGGGCACAAAACATACTTTTATCAAGTGGTCAAAGGGCTTTTTGTGAAATAATCTCCATCTCCGAATAATTGTGTAGTTTCATTGGGTACAATAGAATTTTATTTTTGAATTCAATAATTTGCTAACAGAATATATTGTATATTTCCAAAATAGGATTTCACAAGTTGGTGTGACCTTCACCATTATCCAAATGAAGAGGCGAGGTTGTTCTTATATGTCAAATCACTACACAAGGGTTGAAACAAAAAAACGGTGAAAATGAACAGTTACGCGTACTTTATATTATTCTTATCAGTGCTTGCGCATTATGCCAAAGGTATGAAATAGTATTCTATATGAACCAAGTATGATCAAATTTTTTGTTTTATCTCAATTTCATTAGCAAATTATCGTCCCGTTGTTCTCTGGCATGGAATGGGTGACTCCTGTTGCAGCCCGGACAGTATGGGAGAGATACAGAGAATAATAGAAGATGCTTTGCCAGATATTTATACATACTCAATTATGCTGGGAAATGACGAACGTGAAGACAAAAAAGCGGGTTTCTTTGGTAACGTAAATGAGCAGGTAAGACCTCTTGCACCCTTTTTCCCTTTTGCTCTCCACCTTCAACCGACTTTCGCCGCATAATGCATATACATATAATAGGTAGCTCAAGTTTGCGAGTTACTGAAAGAGGACGAAGAACTTCGGCATGGATTTAATGCAATCGGGTTTTCACAGGTATACGTATGCACAATTTATCGACCAAAGAATTGTTTCCAGGATGCATCACATTTATTAATTGGGAACGTTGTGCAAAGGGTGGGCAATTTCTTCGGTAGGTGCAGTAATTTAACCATCGTTTCCCGTGCATTACCCCTATTAACTTCACGCGTTCTTCAATATCAAGTGCCTACGTGCAGCGATGTAATGATCCACCTGTTCACAATTTAATAACATTCGGCTCCCAACATGGAGGTAAAAAGTTGATTGTGTTTTTGATGATTGTACGACTCCTGTATACTCAATTTTATCTTTGCAGGTGTTTCTGATATTCCCGGTTGCGAGAAAGACGACGGGTGGTGTCAAATAATGCGTTCAATAGCGCGTCGTGGGGCGTATTCGGGATACGTTCGCGACCACATAGTTCAAGCTCAATATTACAAGGATCCAAACAACATTGAACTTTATATGAAATTAAATATTTTTTTACCTGATATTAATAATGAGTATGAAACAAAGAATGAGACTTACGCGAGAAACTTGGCATCTTTGAATAAGCTCGTGTTGGTTAGATTTACCGAGGATGTGACTGTCAAACCAAGAGACACCTCCGTAAGAACATAATGCATAGATTTTTGTGAAGAGTGTAGATGGCGAAATTTAACTGACTGACTTCACTTTGTTCTCTAGTGGTTCTCGTTCTACGACGAAGAAGGCGACATTGTGCCGGTTCATCAGCAGCCTTTGTATAAGCAAGACTGGATTGGGCTAAAAAAGTTGGATGAAGCAGGGAAATTAATATTCAAGGATTGTGAAGGCGCACATGTAAGTATACGCTGCATCTATGAATAAATTTTCTATAGGGAAATTCATATTCATATTCGTCATTTTCATTCAGATGCGTATTGAAGTTGATTATTTCCTAAACGAAATCGTTATCCCTTATTTGAGCGAACCTTTGGATGTTCGAATGGAGTCTCTATTCACTCTTCAAGATTGAAACATCGTGTTTATTCGACTTTCATATTTTCATCAATGCAGTGTATTTTTACATATTGCGTGAAATTATGCTAATTGTTACTGAATTTATTCAATTAAAGTTATCTCTTGAAATTTTATTAAACCGCTTATTTACTCATACAGTATATTAATAAAGTCTTTGGACAAATCTTTGTATCATAAAGTTAATCTAGGTAGCTTTTTTATTTTATTATATATATATATTGTTAAAAATAAAAAGCTACCTAGATTAACTTTATGATACAAAAATTTGTCCAAAGATTTTATTAATATACTGTATGTAACAAAACTTTTTGGAATTTTTTAAAATACATATTTTTGTTTATAAATTAATAAAAAATCATTCAAATTATTTAAAACTTTATAATATATTTTTTAAAGCATAAATATAAAAAAATGTAAAAAAAAAATTAAAATTATTATGTAATTTATTTATTAATTTTAATTTTAAATTTATAAACAAAAAATTTTACATATAAAAAAAGATTATAAATTTTTTTTTTTAAAAAATAAATTTTAAAAAATTTATTAAATTATTTTATATAAAAATCTTAATTAATTTTGTTTTTTAGTTAAGAAATTATTTATAAAATTTTATATAAAATAAATAATTTTTCATTAAATTATAAAAAGTAAAAAATTTTTAGTAAATTTCCATACTGATTTTATATTGTAAAAACATAATAAAAAATTTATAAATCAATTTTATAAGTGATTTTTTTTGAATTTAAATAAAAAATTTAATATAAAACTTATATAAATAAAGAATTTTAAAAAGTTTTGTTATATACTGTATAGTGCTTACTAACTTTTGGATTTATATTCATTTGATAAATATGTCATATATAGGTTTTTCTATAGTTTAATTTTTTGAAAGACTTTTTTGTTTATGTCTCTTTCAGTTTTTTGTATATTATGTATACAATAGTTTGAGGAGTTATGTTTTTAATAGCAAAGTTGTTTTTTTTTTAGTTTTCTTTTCTATACATTTCAGAACATCTTCTTTCTTTTGTATCCAAAAGGTTAATTACTTATTGCTATTAATAAATTCTTTTCACAAGAGCTTTCTTTTTATTTATAGAAGTTTCAAAGTATTATTCAAAAATACCTTGATTTCTTTCTCCATTTTTTTAGAAATATTAACTATTATTGCTTCTAGTCTATAAGTTCACCTTTTCTTTATATAATATAGATTTGTTAGTAAAACTGAATTTATATTTCTAGTTTTATATGAATTGTATTCATTAATATAATGACTTTTGATTTTTTTTTAAAGTTATTGTAATTCTATTTCTTCTTGATCCTTGATAGTATTTCATTATAACTTTATTGTCTATTGTTGAGTTTGTATCTATTTACTCAATAATTTCTATTGATTGATATTTAGGATTGAGTAAACCTTCTGGAATTTTGATAATTTTCAAAAACTTTTTTTTTTATGTAAAATTGTAAAAAGTCTTCTCCATTTTTTTTTCAAGTTGCCAAAGATATAAGATGTATTATACTAAAATTTATTCTTTATAAAAAGTTGGTTCATTAACTTCCAGTATCTTTTTTTTTTTGAGTACACATAGCTAGGCTAGATCGTCAGTTTATTAATCAAATAAAGACAAAAGTACATTTTCATTCAAGCAGCATGATACATACTACAGCTAAACTATTATTC